TATGTTCTTGCTTATTCTTGAAGACGTAAGAGGAAAATGGATCTCTCCAACTGTAATATTGATCTAATGTAGAAAAAGCAATTTGACGTCTCCATAACAAGTCATGGCTGTTCTTACATTTCAATTTTATTTGCAGAAAAAGGCAAAATTAGGACAATGTAGAATGCATAATTTCATTGCATATTTTTGTAGACACGTGTAAATTGCTATATTTATTCATGTTCCACATGCACCTTTTCCCTAGAACTTAGTCCTCCAGTATTGAGGTGTTCATCTTAAATAAGGAAGCCAATTTTCTTCCCAGAATAGAAGCAAGGCTGTAAGATGGCTGCTGCTTCTTTTCCTTCTCTTCCTCCAATCCCCACATGGAGGCAGGGGCTGAATCCAGTCTTCAGCAGCAGTTACAATGTTAACCCTTTCAGGGGTGAATTAGAGCAGAAACAGGGTCTAATATTCATCTCAGTCAGGCAAACAATTCATTTCAGTTGTGAACGGGTGAAAATGGTAGCTTTTGTCTGAACAGGAAAAAGGTGGTGAGAGTAAGCTGAAGTTAAGGTTCTTTCCCTCCTTGCAGCCACTACTGTAAACAAAAACAAAAAAAAAATAAAACGCCACCCCCTTTTTATTCTTCATTCTTCCATCCCAAAACAAGGTTTTTTATGTGGGAATATGTGGTATGTGTAAAATGCAGTAAGGGGCAGATCCAAGGGGGTTCACTCATTCAGTTGCATCCTGGTTTGATTCCTGGGCTACCCAAAGTTTAAAATGACAGTGGCAGCAGCGTTTCTATTCAGGTAGCAGTGAGACATTCAATGGATTTTCTAGCTCATTATAAATTCTAAACACTTCATTGTATAGGTGTTAATATCCCTCTCCCTCCTTTTAATGGTCTTGATGTTCCACTAATCAAGCTATCCTTTCTTCTTCCGTTCTGCTGTCTCTTAACTGTTCCTGGTAATCAGCTATTAACAACATTGCAGATTGTTTTTAACTGTAGCTAAAAACATTAAAGTATGGAAATAACTTTCACTGAAGCACTGGATGCACTGCCAAAATGCTGAGAGAGGCCAGACTTTATTTTATGAATCTAAATGAGATGTACATTTAACTGTAATTACTACAGGAGTAATGAAACACCATCTTTTGATCATTTTTGCCTAGTTTGTTGTGTTTTCATACATAATAGCAAATGAATGCACATTCAACAGTTATAGCACCACTCTTATACTGCCATGCCAATAAAATTATATTTGCTTTTGCTTCCATTTTAAATAGAATAATATAACCTTGGCCCTTAGCATATCAATAAAGCATTTAATTCATTTTTAACTGGAGAAAAATATGTGTTATATTATACAGGATGATGTACCACATCATAGATTTCATAGATATTAGAGCTGGAAGGGACCTCAGAAGATTGAGTCCAGCCCCCTGCCCCAGGGGCAGGAAGTCAGCTGGGGTCAAAAGATACATACAAATGTTTCTTAAAGGAGTCCAGAGTAGATGCTTGCACCACCTCTGGAGGCAGTCTATTCCAGGCCTTGGAGGCTTGGACAGTAAAGAAGTTTTTCCTTATGTCCAGTCAGAAACAGTCTTGGAGGAGTCTGTGACCACTTGACCTTGTCATCCCTTGGGGTGCTCTGATGAACAGGCATTCACCCAGATCCTGATATACACACCTTATATGCTAATAGGCAACCACCAGGTACCCCTTGAGCCTGTGCTTTTCCCGGCTGAAGAGTCCCATGGCTCCCAGCTTCTCATCATACAGTCTGTTGTCCTGCCCTCTGATCATGCACGTGGCTCTCCTCTGGACACTCTCAAGCTTTTCAACGTCCTTTAAAAATATTGGAGCCCAGAACTGGATGCAGTACTCCAGCTTCAGCCTCACCAAGGCTGAGTACAGTGGGAGGATGACATCCTGGGATTTGCTTGAGAAGTATTTATGGATTCAAGCTAGAGTTTTGCTTGCTTTACCAGCTGCGACATCACATTGGTGGCTCATGTTCATCTTGTGGTCAGTCATGACCCCCAAGTCCCTTTCAACTGTAGTGCTAGCAAGTATAGCACTGCTGAGCCAATAAGCGTGCTGCAGGTTTTTTTTCCCCAAGGTGGAATACCTTGCATTTTTTGGTGTTGAATGCCATCAGATTTTCTGCCGCCCATTTTCTGAGCCTGTCTAGGTCAGTCTGGATCACCGGCCTATCCTCAGGTGTGCATGTTTTACCCCAAAGCTTGGTGTCATTGGTGAACTTGGTGTAAGAGTAAATCTAGTCAGGCTTCTGGCCTATTTGACTAGAAAAAACAGACAGAGACCAGAAGTGCT